AAAATATCCGGAAATAAGGTCTGTGGTTGACACACATTGAAGAGATGGATCACGTTTTGTTCTACAACATTAAATCCATCAGCAGTGACCCGACTGGTGATTTCTGAAGAGTTGACTGGTCTGAAAAACGATGGTTGTTACCAAGTGGCTGAATAGGACTACAGAAGTTGTCGAGGCCGTTGTACGTCATTACACGTAAACACGTAAAGTTTGTTTTCCCCCGTGTTCTGCTTGAAAGCAAGTACCTGCCTCCTGCTGACTGTTCAAACAAACGCTTCAACTTGTACCATTTTGAATCTGTAGTTTTGAATATGGATCTTAAGTTGGCGTGACGTTGAAGCAGCAACCCTGCTGTAGTTCCTTTATAGCATAACGTTAGCATTTTGCTTCTGGCGACTAGATTTATGATTAGAAAATGATAAAAGTAGGGTAGACATGTGGAGATTATCCGGCTGAACAAAACGTGATCCGTCTCTTAAATGTGTCTCAACCACAGACCTTATCTCCAGCTATTTTCCTAAATCCTAGGGAGAAATTGCATTGCTTTTTTGTCGAAGGAACCGGAAGGAGTTTACTTCCGGGTTTTAGTTGGGAATAAGTTAATTTACTTCTCTTCATCCGGCACTTTTTGCATTCTGCAGGAAGTTTTTTCTTGAACTTTGTTTTAGCGCTACAACTTCTTTCGTTTGTGGCATTGAGTCCCATGCTAAATGTCTCTCGTGACATATTGAACACGTTGATGTTAAATACTTGTGTTTTCTTTCTTCTCTCAGCGGATCACCATGATGGAGAGCAACATGATGTCACGGTACGTCTCAGAGTTCCTGGAGCTGGAGAAGATCGGCTGTGGAGAGTTCGGAGCCGTGTTCAAATGTGTGAAGAGACTCGACGGCTGCATCTACGCCATCAAGAGATCCAAGAAGCCTCTGGCAGGATCCATAGACGAGTAAGTTCACTTTGCAAACATGGAGATTACCATGGAACAAAGACAATCAACATTAAAGAGGACGTGATGCACCCCAAGTCATCTAAGAGGCCTTTTGCATATTTACACATTCACATCGTTAGTAGTTTTATTGCCAACATTTGAATTTCCTGCTTCTGGATGATGTTGAATCGGAAAGGAAATCAGTGGAAAAACAAGGAAAACAACTCTTATGCAAACAGACCTGGTATTCTTTTGTATTCCTTAGGATGCTTGAATTAATAACACGTGTTCAAAGTCTGTTATTGATAGACAAATATTTACAACTTTAATGTTGGCATTTGACACCTTTTTAACCTTTTTTAAGTAAGCTATGTCATCTTCCACAAGCCTTTCAGAGCAATGGATGAAAACTAAAGAGTCTAGACCCTATTTATTTCCCTCCATTTTAACTTCAAAGCGTTCTCCAGATGTTCCCTTTTAATTAAAACCCTCCGGCTCCCTCCTCCTTACAGACAGAACGCTCTGCGGGAAGTCTACGCTCACGCTGTTCTGGGTCAGCACCCCCACGTGGTTCGGTATTACTCGGCCTGGGCGGAGGACGACCACATGCTGATCCAGAACGAGTACTGCAACGGAGGAACGCTGTCCGACGCCATCTCTGAAAACTACAGGAGGCTGAGCTACCTGACGGAGCTGGAGCTGAAGGATCTGCTGCTGCAGGTCACACGGGGACTCAAATACATCCACTCCACCACGCTGGTGCACATGGACATCAAGCCCAGTGAGTACTTTAGAGTTTAGATTATACTAATGGTGGTGAAAAGTAGGCTTTATATAACATTATATTTACATAACATTCATCTGTTTGCAACTCGTATATATATCAATGTTCCAACTACTGTGTATAGACTATTTTGCACAGTTTCTATTATATTTTATTTTATTGTATTTACTTGTATCTGTTTTATTGTGCTGCACTGTTGGAGGAGGAGCCTGTGACCTGGGATTTAAACTACACTGTAGCTATAGAGAGGCGAAGTCCCGCCCATCTACTTCTGACCCATGGGAACTTATTTCAGAAAAATTATGTATTGAAGTCAATGGAGAGAGAAACATTATCTCTCGATCCCGTTTGAATTGTGCCACGAATTACACATATGATGTTTGTCAATTTAAAAAAGATTTTCCATATCAAAAAAGTTACAATTTTTCAAGGCCGATACCGATTATTAGTAATCAAGGAGACCGATAACTGATATTTGGAACTGATATACATTTGCAGTAAAATCTGAAAATCTTGGTGTCAAAATGTAGAATAACACAACTCCTTTGAAATGCCTTTTTATGTTTAATGAACTTTTCAACATCTTAAAACTGGTTTCCTCTCTGACCCTGAGTAAAGTAAATGAAGTAAAAATAAAAACTACTAAAACTTGTTCTGAACTTATGGTATTTGAGTCTCACTCATTTAGTAGTCCCAATTCAGCAGCACCAGATTGTGGTGCAGAAAGCAGACTGCTACGAGGCTCCACTAGCAGCAGTCCCAGTCAGGTCCCATGGAGGTCCCCCGGAAAGGGAGGGACTTCGCCTCCATGTGCACATGACAGTAGGCCTGTCACGATAATTAATTTTGTT